ACATTATGCTAATGACATTTTCTTTCTGCAAATCCCATGAGAACTTTAAATGCTTTAATTCATTAACCCTAGGTGTAGCACAGGCAGCTCTGCTACTAATGAGGCCATGGAACCAGCAGACTGATTTGAAAGAGTTAAATTACTGCATAAGGCATTATAAAAACTAGAGGATTTTAACCCATGTTTCCAGGTGCAGATGCCCCAAATATGAAGCTAGCATTCTATTCCAATGTAACATGCCAATAACTCTTAGCCAAAGGATAGTTTTGGAAAGTTGCTAGGAACATACAGCACTGGACTTGGAGAACAGTTGGAAGCAGCTATAATTCACAAGTTTTGATCAGACCTTACCTCTTGATATAAGGTGTTGGAAAGAACTCGAAAGGTACTGGATGAAGGAGAAACTTGAGCCCTCTGCTTTACAACTTCAGAAGGAACCCGTATTAGACAGGCAACCTGTAAAAGAAGCCTATGATTAGACTACACACACCTAAGTCCACTTCCCTTATAAAGTTAGTTTGTTTTCTTTTCTTTCCACACAGTGAAACCTGCAAAACTGAGAAACAGTTTGTATATTTCGGAGTCAAGCTTAAAAACTGTTGGTGAGACACTTACACTCACTGCCAGACAGTGCCATGTGCTTGCTGAAATCAACATGTACAATGCTACACAAATGAAAAATGGAAATGTCCTCCACAAATGTTTCAGTTTGAAAGTGACTCTCAAAGCAGAAGCGGATTTGGGGTAAGGGATCATTAAAGAAAAAGGGAAAGCTTGAAAGTTATTTCGAAGTCACAGGAATCCTTCTCAATATTAGCACTGTAAATAGGACATGTGGGAAGACTTTTCTCCAGACCAATTTGCATGTGCTTGTTTTCCAAATAAGCAAGACAGTCACATTATGTCCTATAGTGACCAAGATTGAGGAACACGTCACCGAGCATTGGATGGAAATAAAAATATTTATTGTAAAGAGTCCCTTCATATGCATGGTGAAGCACAGCCACTGCAGGGAGAAGCAAGTACTGGCCCTGATGTTTCCTGGCCTCTCCAGCCAACAGACCTGCCATCCAAGAAGGGGAGTCTCAAGGCTGGGTGCCATAAAGGGTTCCCTGCAACTAGTGGCTCTCCCCAGCTGCCAGGGTAGACTTATTTACAAAGGCCTGGTCTACACTAGGACTTTAATTCGGATTTAGCTGCCTTAATCCGAATTAACCCTTCACCCGTCCACACTACAGAGCCAGTTAATTCGAATTAAAGGGCCCTTTAAATCGATTTCTGTACTCCACCTCGACGAACGGAGTAGAGCCTAAATCGATTTTGTTAATTCGAATTAGGGTTAGTGTGGACGCACACCACCGAATTACTGTATTTAAGTTAATGGGGTAGTGTGGCCGCACACCACCGAATTAATGTGGTTTAAAACCGAATTAAGGTGCTTAGTGTGGCCGCGCACAATCGAATTTATACAACCTGTTTCCCAAATTCGAATTATCTAAATTCGGATTAATCCTGTAGTGTAGACATACCCAAAGTCTGTAACCTGTTATTGTGACACACAATAAGCTGAGGTCAGTTAAGGTTGCATGTGGGTGTGGTTTTTGAAGAATGGGGCCCCAGGCACTGCGGGTGAGTTTGTATGGCTGAAGCAAAGGGGTGGAGGAGTAGGTGTGTGAGGGCATTTAGATGTTGTTGTGAGGACGGTAAGAGAGTTAAATAAGCTCAGTTTGAAGGGTAGTGTTGCCTCCAGTGGTGAATTCCTTGATTTTTTTTTTTTTTTTAATTTGTGATTGCATAGATAGGAAATTACATAACTTTAACAGGTGTGTGTGGCATTTTCATTCTGTATTTGTGGCCTGTCTGTATTGGAAGACCCTGTTGCCACATAAAAAGAAGTACAGGTAAAAGTGCTGCAGGAAGAATAACTCTCCCAAGCCAGGATGCAAGTAACTCATATAAACATACCAAATCCCCACCCTGCTCAGCACCCTATGCATCCTCATACGCTCCTCTCTTCCTGCTTTTTTCCTTTGGAAACAAACAGGACTCTGCTCCTAAGCTTCCCCTCTGAATTCAGCTAGGGTCCTCCTTGCAAGGCTCCTCTGTTCTTGCCCCTTAAGTCAGTTTACTGAGACGCTCCAAGGGTTTTTTTACATACTCCTAGGTTGTGGCTTCCAGGACCCAATTGATCTGGCTACGCGGATAAATCGCCCAGAGTTCCACATCTCAGTGCAGCTGCTTCCCTGTTACAATGGGAGTTCCTCATACTGTGCAGTGGAAGAATCTGATCCCTGAATCTTTTGACTTTTCTATTGTGTCTTAACAACACAATAGCAGTGGTTTATTTGCATAGAACAGTAACTTATCACAACACTGGAAACCCTGAGAATAACAGGGTATTTTTAAAGATTAAGGACTAGATTCTGCCCTATGCTAAGGCCCTTTTACATCACACCAGCAGTGTAAAGGAGGCAGAAATGGCCCCTATAGAATCTTCCAGTCAGAGAGAGATTCCCTATCTGGTACAGAACTGATATAATGGCTTGGTGCCAGCTCTCTTCCCAGACTCTGACAGACGAGGCAGGGAGAGGGCAGAAAGAGACATGGTCAGTGTACTTGCACTCCCGCTGTGCTGATGTAATGGCCTATAAAAGTCTTCTGGCCTTCAAACCAATTTCTCCATCACACGCAAGCTCCCCACAGACCAGAACACATCAACTCAAAGCAGCATCACACCCTGCCAGAACAACAGATGCAAAACCAGCATCTCCATTGCTACAGTGATCAACACCCCACACAACACACCTTTCAGGATCCGTGGGTCTTACACACGCCTATCACAACACGTGGCGTACCTCATCCAATGCACTAAATGCTCCAACAACAACTCTGTGGGTGAAACCAGACATCACTACGCTCTCCAATGAACTCGCATGGAAAAACAGTAAGACAAAAACCACCATATCCTGGGGGTGAACACTTTTGACAAAGCAATCACTCTATATCTGACCTCTCAGTCCTCATCCTCAAAGGAAACCTGCACAACACCTTCAAAAGATGACTCTGGGAGCTTCAATTCATAACTTTGCTGGACACTAAAAATCATGGAATGAACAGAGACACTGGATTTATGGCTTATTACAACAATCAATCACCCACTAACCCCCCACCCCCAGCTTTCTCCTAGCCATTACAGAAGGGGTGTTAACAGGCTACTTCCCCATGAATGGTCCCTTGAAATGTCTTAACTGCTTATACTCAACAATCTGATTCACCTTAGCTGTGACACTCTGGGTTGGGGATGTAAATATTGGTTAAAAAAGTTAACTGGTTAAAATTATATCATTGAACTGGTTAACCGTTAACCGAAATCACTCCAGAGGACCTGGCGTGGCGGGGGCTCGGGATGGGGTCCCTCTGGCTGGCGCGGGGCCGCTGGGGTTAACGTTTAAAGTCGGTTAACGGTAAGCCTAATGCTTACCGGTTAACCTTTTACAGCCCTACTCTGGGTATGTCTACACTGCAATGTAAGCCCAGGCTCAGGGCAGGTCTACACTTAAAACGCTGCACTGATGCGGCTGCACCGCAGTAGCGCTTTAATGAAGACGCTCTAAGCCAACGGGAGAGAGCTTCTCTCATAATCTCAGGCTATGTCTACACTGGCGCTTTCGTCGCTAAAACTTATGTCACTCTGGGTGTGGAAACCCACCCCCGACCCCCCTGAACAACAAAAGTTTTAGTGATGAAAAGTGCTGGTGTGGACAGCACTTCATCGGCGGGAGCCGCGCTCCCATCGACGAAGCTACCGCCCCTCATTGGGGGTGGTTTTATTTTGTCGCTCTCTCCCAGCAATGAAGAGCAGCCACACAGCACACCTTACAATGGCGCAGCTGCATGGGTGCGGCTGCAGCGGCACAGCTGTGCCATTGTAAGGTGTGCTGTGTAAACATAGCCTTAGTTAATCCACCTCCGCGAGAGGCGGTAGCTATATCGGTGGGAGAAGCTCTCTCGCTGAGATAGTTATACCGACAGTAAACAGCGCTATGTCACGGAGGGGTGTGGATTATTCACACCTCTGAGCGACATAGTTATACCAAAGTAATTCTGTAGTGTAGACCAGAGCTCAGACTCAGGCTTGAGTCCAAACCCCTCCCCCCCCCTTCTGTCTACATGCAAATCTGTCACACTCAGGCTCAGAGGTAGGGTCCTAGGACTCTGCAGAGGTGGAGGGTCCTAAGACCGGAAGAAGAGCTCTGTGTAAGCTCGAAAGATTGTCTCTCTCTCTCCAACAGAAGTGGGTCCAACAAAAGATATTACCCCACGCGCTTTGTCTCTCCAATATCCTGGGACCAATACAGCTACTGTACAACAACACTGCATATAAAAGTCTTATCAGTCAACAACAAAGTAGCATGGGGCTACTGTAGCTTGTGCTGGGGGCTGGTGCTAGAATATGAAAAGTACAAAGGTGGCTTAGACCCACCTTAGCCTAGTACAGGAAAGGAACAATAGAGAATTTGGCCCCAAAATGAAGTTAAAATTAAATGTGTTTTAAAATGTTTTGCATTCAAAGGCAAGTGCACATAATAAAAAAAGTAACCTGGATGAAATCTGTTCCTCCAAAAATGAACTCAGACTCAGAGTTTGCAAATAAATTAAGCAACTAACTTGTATACATTAATGTTCTCATTAGGCATATTAAATGTAATAGCTTGTTGTCAGGATGTACAAATTGAATAAACATGACTGGTAGCTTGTAGGACAAACTTTACACCGTGTTTATAAAAAAAAGGTAAACGTCTGTATTCAAAAGTGGCTATGAAATAAATTCTCTTGTAACTCGCTAGCTCATCCTGTTGTACTTGCAATAGTCAAGAGTCATTCCAAAGAGGTACCACTCCATGTGTGCTTCAATTCCAGGGGTCAAAAACAACAAATGACCCCAATATGTCAAGAAAATAAGAATTGTCAACTTTTTTTGTAGTTCAGCATAAATATTTATAGAACTTCATGCTTCATAACACTCCATGTCCTTACATTAGCTTTTTATTCCTTAAAAGTACGGAGGCAGGAAGAAAACTTTAAAAAGGCTTTCAGATGAAAAACAATCTACCCAACCAAGGGGGTACAAAGAGCCCAGCGTGGCTTCCTGACTTCTGTGGCGTTGCAATTTTGGCATGAGAGGGGTGGCTACAAAGTAATGTATCTATCTATTTTCTCCAGATATTTGCAGTGCCTTCCATTTTGTTTCATATTAACTTTGATGTTTTTCCGATTTGAATTTGAGCTACAAGGGAATATTTCACTGCACAAGAACAAAAACAAGTGATTGCATTGTACTGGTATGAAAGAAAGTAAAAGCTAATGTCATCCCAGGCTCTATTGTCAGATAGGTTCCATAGGGCACTCTTTGCTCACAAGTTTTTGTGCAAAGACTGTTGCAACTAGACAGTACA